CCACTGCTCTACCCACATGAGCAGCAAAAAGACGTTTTAGACCAAATGTTACAGATTTGAACAAATACACACAAAACCATCAAAATTAGCGCAGAAATAGTACTATATAACATTTTAGACACATTCTAGACAGTTTATCAGCTAAAAAAAGTTAATTTTGGGGTAAGTTTCTCTTTAAGGGCAACTGTCCTGAAAGGTCATTGAGTTTGTTAGTGATGAGTCAGCTACTTTCATCACTGTTCAGCTGCTAATTAATTAGCAGGCAGTGTTCAGATCAGTACTGTGCTGTATATTTGTTGTATAATACAACAAAACAGTGATTCAGATGAGTATTTGATGAGTAGTATAAGAGAATTGAAAGATTTAAGAACTTGTGATGATAAGATAACCTTTTGTTTGGTTGTAACTGTGTTTTATAAATGGCTGAACCCATCAGTTAGACTCATCAAGGCTCTGAGATGTTTGCTCGTTTTTCACCGCCTCGCTGCCATGGCGATCATTTCCGATGTGCATGGGCGTGTCCCATTGGGGCTTGTTACCTGTGCCCCCCTGAGCCTTGCTTCTTGCTCCCCCCCTCCCCCCTCTGTGGCTGTTTACTTCTGCTGAGCTGCCCTTCTCCACCAACTCTGGAACATTTTGTCCGTTTTCCAGCTCTGGAGGAGAGTGTGGTTTTCCTCCTGCTGTGACTCTTTTGTCTTTTATCCTGCAACGAACGTATCTGAAAAGTTTTATTACCGCTCTCCTTTCTGTCCACCTGTCTCGGTGATAATCGCCCCGAGCTGCGAACACTTCCATGTGTTCATAACGAAGCTGCAGTGGTAATAAGCTTATGATAATTCCACTGGGCAGATCTGGTTAATAAAACTGCTTTGTTAGACCTGCAGCACCTGGCCTTTGGGGAGATGTGACAGATTTCTCCGTAAGTCCAGACAAGAAAAGCTTCTTATGGCTCATACGCTCCCACCTCTTCACCTCACATCTCTCTAATAACCCTCTGCTTTTACGCTGCTTATGTGTGAGAGCTTTGTGGCTTTGTACCTGAAGATCTTATCTGAAGGCTTAAAATCTCCCTCCGTCTCTTGTGCATTTAATTTATCAACTAAAATTAAATTTATTTTTTTTTAAATGGTGCTTACATGTTTTTATTTGGTGTCTGCAGCGAGGCGGCAGCCCAAGCTGTAGCGACGCTGGCCGAGGCCACTCTTCAAGGCGGGGGGCAGATCGTGCTGGCAGAGACGGCAGCCGCCGTTGGGGCTCTCGCGGGGGTTCAAGATGCCACAGGTACCTCTTCAGTCCACAGCTGTGAAAACACTGAAAACACATGCAAATACACATGTCTGCACATTTATGAGGCTCGAGCTGAAACTCGTGAATCCTTTTCATCTTCATTTCCCCGCTTGTTTTTGTCTTTTCTAATTTGTTCTTGTTCAGCCATTATTGGCATTTTTGATTAGCCTCACTAAGTGTGAGCTACCCACCAGTAACGCTACAGTGAGGCCTCCGAGCCCCCCCCCCCACCACCACCACCACCACCACCCATCCCTCCCTTTCTAATCTACTCTGTGCTGATTTGACAGATGGTGTGTTTTGTCTGTGCGCACTTTGAAGCCTTGCTTATAATGATATGTCTTATAAGTCTGGCCCTCATGTTTGTTAGTCAGCTATGATAAACTCAGTGAGGATCCTTGTAAGTGTTCTCATGAGAAAATATACCAACCTGAAGCGTTATTCCAGTTTGTTGGGGGGTTGTGATGGTTAAAATTGGTCACTAATACCAGGATCCTCAAAAAGTCTTAAAAGTCATTGAATTCATTAAAATTTGTCATATATATATTCATTAAAACATTCAAATAACTTGGTATATTCTCTCCAAGTACTGAAAATTTCAGTCGTCCCTGAATGCACCATTGGATGTGAGGAAATTTTTAAATTTTGGTATACTGGTGGTCTTTAGGTGTACCGCTGTTGCCTTATAAAATGGCCAAATTGGACGCTAAGTTTAATTAAATATCCACGGTGATAGATAAAGTAATAAAAGTAGAGGGAGCTCAATATTTAGCAGCTAGCCAAATGATTTAAGGGGCAAACTGGACGCATAAACATAGTTAAAACAAAATGTTAGTTTGAACCATTAATAACGTGTTCTGATGACTGTTTGAGGGGCTGATGAACAAATTTGAGCTGAGCCCTGCTCTACTGCAAGGAGAACTATTATGGGATGGATTATGAATAAACAACTATTAGGGGATGGTGATGCATTCAGTGTGTCCGGAAA